CACCCTTTCCCTTGCCTGAAAGCCCCCGTAGCCTGAAAGCCTCTCCCCTTTTCTTTCTTCCTTCTCTCTCGCCACCCCCCACCCCAGTTTTCAGTTTTCCCTCCTCTGTCTCTGACAGCCTCTACCCTGGAAAACTATGGGCCAGTTGTGCAGTGGGGAATCTCATTTCCCCCGTGTCCATTTCTCCACACTATTTCCTCTTTTTCTACTTTCTTCTTTCCTTCATATCCACAACCAACCTACCTTTTCTCTGACCTCCCCATCTTCAGCTATATTTTATTATTTATTTGCTTCATGTATATCAAGCTATGGGAATCTCACCCACTTCCCTCCCTCACACACAGGATATTTCCTTTTCTTCTTTCTTGCTGAGCAGCCCCTATGTCTATTTTCTTCTGTTGTTTTGGTCTGTGGCTGTCCCACCCAGTCACATTATTATATATTTAGATGCTGGCCCAGCCCAGGGAACTGAGGGAAGAGACAAAATCACCTTCTTAACATAGTTCTGAAATGGTGCGTGAGAGGCTTTTGAAAGTTCAAAATAAAATATTTTATTTACCTTGGAAGGGGAAAACAGGTCAGGTAGAATCAGGGGTTGGATATATGAGGTGAACAGATGATAAAAACTGAGGTTAACTTTGTAATCATGTAGACTCAAGATAATTTGTTGCCAATAAGTAGATGTATTTATTTTTCAACAAGGTCTTTGAAACTTAGAGGCTTTTTTTCCAGTGTCTGCTTAAACATTCAAGTATAGGTACCTGAGTTTCACTGGCTCTTAAAGTTTAGAAGGCTGAGACACTCAACCAAGTTCCCAAAACGTTTCTCAATACGTTTCTCAATGGATCACTCCTCTTCCCCCAGCTTCCCAATTTAGGCAGGCATGTTTTAGGGGTGCAGGGGGTGGGTGGGAGTGGGACCAGTCAGGGTTAACATACAGAGTTCTGCAGACTTGAGGGATTCCAGTTTTAAAGAGAAATATTAGTTTTAACACACCTACCCTCCTAATGTGGAGCTTCTGTGGAATAGTAGCAAACCAAGTGCTGAAGAGGACACCCAAAATTATTATCTCAAACCATCCTGTAAAAAAAAACCCCTGAGACCCTGGAGAGCCATTGTCATTCTGAATAGACCTGGGGGTGGGGGGGATGGGGAGAAGCTTGCAATGCTCAGCCATTTCATGTTCGTCCCCTGGGTCCTAGACTCAGACCATTTATATTTGTAGTATATGGTTTGGGGGGGGGTTGGGACTAACCACAGTTAAAATATAGAGTTCAGCAAACTCAAGGAACTTCAGTTTTGCAGAGAAATAGTTTTAATACACGCCCCCTCCCAATGTGGGGGTCCAATGGAATAGCTGCTATAATATATTTAATTGTGCTTGTCTGTGTCCTTTATAAAGTTTATATCTCTGCTACTTGGCATTACATTTTATGACACGCATGGTCCAGCCCGATAAAGTCCCATTTATGTCACATTTGGCCCTCATAACAAATGAGTTCGACACCATGCTCTAAACATTTGATGTTCCTGCCTTTTGTGGGGTGGTTGATGTTGAACACTAGCAAGTAGCTGGGCCTGGGTGTGTCATGTAGCAAAACCAAAACAAAGGGAAAGAACAAACTTCAGCCCAGAAACACTAGGTAACCAAGAAAGTGGACAAAAGGCCTAATAAAAGAATAAATAATAATGGATGACATAAGATAAGTTAACCAAGCTTTAATATAATACAAGTAGTATGGTGTGTCATGCAAGTCATATGGTATTAAGTTGCCTGATGGCTGCAGCCAGGTCTGCCCCCATGAGTCTTTCCTCAAAGGCCAAAAGAGACTGGGAAATGGCCCTTTTCCTGACAGAAAACAAGGCTTGACAATACTGCTGTAGTTACCTAGCGACAACCACTGAAGACACCTGTTTATTAAAGGTACCAGCAACCCTTTTTTATGGGGGGGGGGTTAGCCCCCATTTTTTTGTTTTTTAAGATTTCAGATTTTTCTGCAAACCTGGGCTGTTTTTCAGGTTTGTAGAAAGATCTGTCTTGTACGTTCATGCCTCTAGGCTCTGGATTTTAGTGTCTTCAGATTTGGCCAGGTTGAGCATTAGATATATTGATGCTGAGAATATAAAACAACAAGCCATTATAAAACAAACTGTTGGATATAAACAGCATAAAAGCTATGTGTAAAACAAAAGCTATGTGTAAAACAGAGTTCAGACTAGAGGCAGACCATTTATAAAAGCTGGTAAGATAAAATCCCTAATTAAAAACCCAGGTTAAAAAAAATGTGTTACAGCCTGATACCTAAACCCCCCCTAGTAATATAGATGCCAATTGAGTCTAAAAGAAGAGGGCATTCTTAAGGTGAGGTGCTGCCAAAGGAGATGTCCTGTGAGGACAGACACAGAGAGCAGAGCTTGAGAAACAGATCTTAATAAGCAAGCTGGGTGGTATTGGAGGAGATAGTCCTTTCAGGTACCCTGGTCCCAAGCTATTTAGGTAAGTACTTCCCAAGCTGTTTAGGGCCTTACAGGTAAGAACCAGCACTTTGAATTGTCTTGCTCCTGGAAAGAGATTGGTAGTAAGTGCAAATATTTCAGTGGGGCAGCCCCACTTAGAGCACATTACAGTAATCTAATTTGGATGTGATCAGAGCATGGATCACCATGACCAGGTCATGCTTTTTGAGGAATGGATGTAGCTGGTGTACTAGCCAAAGCTGATAAGACATTACATATCACAGAGGGAGACCTGAGCCCTCAATTATGATCTATGGGTCAGGATACCGTAATTCCCCCACACTACGAACCTGCTCCTTCAAAGGGAGTACAACCCCCTCCAGGACAGGAATTCGCAATCACCAAGCAGCTTCTCCATTGATCAACAGTGCCTCAGTCTTGTCTAGATTGAGCTTCAGTTTTTTGGCTCTCATCTGTTGTATTCTCCAGGCAGCTATTTAGGACTGACCCACAGACCCACCTGATTTGGCTGTTAGGGAGAAATAAAGCTGGACATCGTCTTCATATAGGTGACATCTAACTCCAAATCTCTGGATGACCTGTGTCAACAGTTTCATATATAGCATTTTTTTTTCTTTTTGATTGTGTTAGAAGCAGAGGTAGAGGCAAGAAATCCACATATACAGACAACGACGACTCAGAGTCTGAAGAGAAGATAACAAACAAAAAAGCAAATGGTGAGCTTTGTTAAATTTATTTCTTGGTGGTGATACTTGTTTAATACCTTTATTCATTTAGTTATTGTCCGACATCCCCCCCTTTTTTTTTTACCAGCTGAAGCTAAAAAAACACAGCGAGGAGCAAGAAAAAGAAAAGGTATGAGACCCAGCATCAAAATTTATATTTAAATCAGTGGGTTTATGTTAGAATTGCACCATGAGACCCTTATGAAACACCACGGTAGTCTTCCACCCCAAAAAGGTAATAGTATTGTGGTGATGTTTTTGATAATTATGCATCTGAATACTTTGCAAGTAATTGTAATTTTTATATTAGATTAAGTGCTTTCATTGTCTGTTCAGAACAGTGTTTCCCACAGTGGACAGTACTGCCCACGGGGGGGGGGGGTTACCTAGGGGGATGCAAAGGGCTGGCAGGCAGGGAGCTGAAGGTGGGCCCCTTCAGATGCATTGTTCACTTGTAATTGACCAGGCTATGTACTCCCAAGTTTCTGTTGCTGCACAGTGGTGAAATCTGGTGGAAACTGTCAGAATTTTTAGTAAATATGCCACCAGAGCTCTAGTCAGACCAGTATATCGCATTTTGAGAAACTTTCAGCACCATGTATGTTTTTTTGTCTTTGTCATTTTTCAAGTTTTTGCTGATAATTATGGTATTTATTTCCCCGTGTCCTTGGTTACTGAACCTGTTGATGAAGTGTTCTTCATCCAATATTAATATTTCTAGGTTACATTAGGATTTAAAATTTCGCAATGACTTTTGAAAAAGGGAAAAATTATTTTAAGGCAAAGGTTTAGAGGTAGAAGGAAAAATTTGGGTAACAGGGAAAACAGGGCATACATAATTTCTGGTGATAAGGATAAAATTATGGTAAATATAAATATTGGGGGGAAATTTGGGTGTCTTTTTGGCAAGAGTTTTTTTTTGAAGCGAAACCTTTATAAAGAGAATATCACAGTCTTTATTACGAACTGTTGTAATGAAATGAAAGAAAAAAGTAATAAAAGTATTAAAAGGAGAAAGTAAATTAAAATAAACTTTATTCCTTTAACTTCAAGCCAGTATTTCCCTTATTTCTGTTTTCTAGGACCTTTTATGTATACAATTTACTTCTGTCAAACATTTTAATGAATTATCCAGTATCCGTTGTTAATTTTTTGTATTTTCAGACACAGAGACCCTGCTACGGCGGGGAGGGCGGGGTAAAACTCTGATAAATAATATTCCCAGTCAAGCTAGGGTTGCCAAATCCGAAAATGCTGTCGTCGGGGGAGCGTCCTGCTTCTCCGGGAGTTGGTCCGGGATGTGCGCGCGCGCGCCGCGGAGCGTCACCGGAAGTGACGTCGCACGCTGGGGCGGGGCCACGTCATTTGAGGGGAAAACAAAGAGTTTTCCCCTCAAATTTCCCCGGGCCCCGATTCCCCAGCGTCGGGAAACGGAGCCTCCGGGGCGGGGTATTTCCGCCCTACCGGGGGAGTTGGCAGACCTAAGTCAAGCATTAGTCTGTGGGTGAATGAACTTTATAAAACTTTTTCAGTGCACTACAGAAGAATGCTTTCTTGGAAGTAAGTCCCACTAAATAGACCTGAGATAATAGCTCCTGTCAAAGCTATTATGCATATGTGCAGTGTCTAGGAAATAAAGGCAATGTGTTCTCTACCCAGCCTGGATCAGCTTTTTACCATAGTCAGTCATCGGGTAAGTCTCAGGACACTACAGGGTTTCAACAAAAGAAATTATGGCCTGAGGCTAGGAGCTAGCTAGCTCTGTTTAATGTGTATCAATTTAGTACATTGATTTTCCAAAAATATACCTATTTTTTTCCCAGTCCTTATCTCTCCCTTATAATAACTGAATAGTGGGCACCAACGTTCTAAATTTGGCCCCTTTAGTGTTAGGCCGGAAGAACTGCCACTCAGAAGACACTGGCTGGGTTGACTGGCTGCTTTGTGCAGTCCCGCCCAGCGTTCCAAGGTCATTTGCATATGGAAGCTGATTGGACTTCACTCCATTCCACACCTCAAACTCACCCCCCCCTGCAAGGCAGTTGGAATTTTCAGTTGCATAACATACCTCATAGGGGAGAGGAGAATGATGTCAGCTGCTTTGGTTACCACTGCAGGGAAAGACTGCCCTTTCCCTAGGCAGAGGCTGTGGGTTTTTTTTTGTAAAACTTAAGACAGACAGGCAGATAAAGGTTGGCTGATGGTTGCCAGGAAAGGACATAGGGTTGCCAACTCCAGGTTGGAAACTTCCAGGATATTTTAGGGATGAAGCCTGCTGAGGGTGGGGTCTGAGGAGGAGGAGGAGGGGGACCTCAGACAGATACAATGCCATACTGCCCACACTCCAGACAAGCTGTTGCCAGTCTCCAGGTGACAGCTGGAGAGATCTTAAAGCTTTGGTGCTAATTCAAAGTGTTGCAATTTATTGTCAGAGTAGTGTTTTGGAAAATCTTTAGGAATTGTTTGGTGGATTTACGGTGGGGCTCCTGGGGAACTATTGTTGCCAATCTGCTGGAGTGGCCGCGGGGGGGTCTGGAGTCGGGCGGCCGCTGGCGGGGGACGCAGTCGCCCGGGCCGAGATTGGGGGGGCAAGGCGGGCGACAGAAGGCCGATGCCTCCGTCGCCCGGCCCTCTACAGAATCCACCCCCCAAACCTCCAGGTATTTCCCTCCTTAGAGCTGGCAACCCTACATTCCCCTCAGTGCCTGTTGGTAGGCAACTAAGCTTGGTCCTGTCACCTACTTTGGCCTTTGGGAGAAAACACATTGGGGCCAGTCCTAATAGGGTTGCTAACTCCAGATGGGAAATTCCTGGAGATTTGAGGGATGGAGCCTGAAGAGGGTGAGGTTTGAGGAGGGGTGGGACCTCAGACAGGTACACTGCCATAGACTCCACCCTCCAAACCAGTCAGTCCCACATAGGGAACCATTGTTGCCAATCTCCAGGTGAGGGCTGGAGAGCACTCAGAATTACAACTGCTCTGCAGAAGGGAGGGCAGAAGTCAGCTGAAGTCAAAGGGGCAGATAATGGTAGGTTGATGGTTTGCTGGGAAGGAGATGGGGTTGCCAACTACATGCTGACAAATTCCTGAGGATTTGAGGGGTGGAGCCTGGAGAGGGTGGGGTTTGCAGAGGGGTGGGACCTCAGACAGGTAGAATGCCATAGACTACACCCTCCAAACCAGCCATTTTGTCCTGGGTAACAATTGCTGCCAATCTCCAGGTGAGGGCTACAGATCACTCACAATTACAACTGCTCTTCAGGTAGCAGAGATCAGTTCCTCTGGAGAAAACAGTGGACTCTGTCATTATACCCTGCTGAGGTCACCACAGCAAATTGACACTGTTTGCCCAAAGCCAGAGCACTGCCCCAGAGCCTCTTTCTAGATCTCGTTGTATTGCTTTCACAACGGGCTTTACTGCTAGTATGTACATATAATTTGTTATCTGATTACCAGAATTTTTATTACCACCCTAAATTTCCCCTCAGTTACCCAATTAAGATGCAAAATAACATTGAGCTGAAGCCAAAGCTTAAGAAACCGTACTAAGAATTTTGGTTACAGAAGCAAATTTCTGTTTGCTATCCAGCACTATGGACAGTGGTTAGGAGGCTCCTTGTTGCATACCTAACATCATGTTTGGCAGAATGTGGTTTTACTGTGGTCATCTAGCTTCTCTCCAAAAAACTGAATCCAGTTTACTAAACATGGTGATTTAAGACTCTCGCTAAGTGTCTTTAAACCAGACATCGGGAAATCAGTATCACTTTATCAAGCCCATCCATTGCATTAAGAGTTTATGAACAGTAAAGTAGTTACTAAATGTGGTCTCTAATAACTATCAGATTTTGTTGAATAAACTCAGCTAAAAAGCTTTAATTGGATTTTGCAATTAATTTTTACCATTTTAAATTTAAGTTTTGTTATCTTCCTTAGTGGGTCATGCAAGCGGCTGTTCTGAATAATGCTTTTATAAGGGGTAGGATAGGGGGCACTGGGAATGAGCGTCAAGAACCAAAGATACAGTGACCTCTTTGGTAGAACTGACCACCTCTGTTCTTACCCAGTCTTATGGTGTATTGTTTCAGTGTGCACAGTAGTAGTATGTATGCTTTGAATGCAGAATATCTCATGTTCAGTCTTATGTATCTTCTCTCTAAGTAGGATGTGGGGTAGCAAGCCTGGCAAAAGCTTCAGCCAGAGGCTCTGGAGACCTCTGCTGGTCATGAGGTTCTGCATTCAGTCTCTTGACCTCCAGTTAAAGGCATTTGGGTATCGAGAATTAGAAAGACCTTTCTCTGCCTGAGACCCTGGGATGTCCCTTTCTGCAGAGCAGACAATACTGAACTAGCAGGGTGTCACAACATCAGGGTGCCCCCACAATGTCTATTGGCTGAGATACTTATGAAATAAAAAGAATTTAAATGTATCCAACTGGAAAAATATCTTTTTGGTAGCATAAATTTGTGGCACTGGAATAAAAGTTGAACCTGGTTTCTGGACCAGAGGTGGGTGGGGCTGAGAGAACTCTGACACAAACTGCTCTTTTTCAAGGACAGCTGTGCCAGAGCTTGTGACTGACCCAAGGTCACATCAGCAGGTGCAAGTGGAAGAGTGGGGAATCAAACCCGGTTCTCCCAGAGTAGAGTCCGCACACTTAACCACTACACCAAACTTTACAAAAGATAAACATACATAAAAACATAGAACTAGGGGAAAGGAGTATATAATGAGACAAAGACAAAAACAATAGACCTAACTAACTAGCCTTTAGACACAGACCCTGAATGGCTTACAGCTCCACAGCAGATGTCTTGAGTAGCAGTCTTCCCAATAGCAATGATGCAAGAGTGGAAGTCTTGAAGGACTTGAAGATCCTCCTTCAGTTTCACATGCTCTTCCTGAGGTGCTGTGTTCTGGCTTCTTCACTCTTGCCCTATATGGTAGCTCAGTTGTCAGTTCCCTAACTGCATGACCAATCAGAATGATCAATCAGTTGATCTAACTGATCAGAGCTGAATCTAGATCCTCAGCTGTCAAACTGACATTTGAGCTATAAATGGCTGTCAACCAATTACCTTGACAGTTCCCAGCTGCTAGTTATCATACTGAAAGGCAACTACCTACAGGTGCTTGTTAGGTAAAGCACTTAATGACATGGATAACGATCCAGAAAGTACTTACAGAATGACAATTCCAAGGTGAATGCAGACACTTACATACTGGGGACTCACTTTCATGACACAGGGCTGTTTATGTGAAGCCCTACCAACATATGGATGCATGTCGTGGCTTTTCATTAGGAGCCTTGACCTACTGTCCCATCATACTTTATGCTGTAGGTGTGGCGAAAGCATTTGTGGTTCCCCACCACACTTGTAGAGGAGTTTCTATAGACATTGTCTAATTGAACTGAGTGTGGGCCTAAGCTAGGAATAATCACTATCTAATGTTTAACTGGCGTGGATAACTTGAGCAGCAAAACCCATAGTCAAGCTAGGGGCTGATACTTGAGGAACTTTTCAGGTATCCAGAAAAATATGACTTTGTAAATTAACTAAATGGAAAAGGGAAGTAAACAAAAAACCTGACCTGGTGAGGATTAAACATGCTCTCAAACAGATAGAATATTGAGAGTAGCTGAGAATCAGTTAAAGCGGGGGAAAGGGGGTGGAGAGTCTTTTATGAATAAGTTGCAGTGGATGAATTTTAGTTCCTATCTCTTTTGGTTGTACTAAGAATACTGAATGCACGTGTGGCTAAGCACTAACCTGTCTGAATATTTGTAAGCCGTCTCCTTGAAATAATACATTTTAAACTACTTACCTGTTCTGTGGAGCAGAGAGATTACAAAGTGAAACTTCTGCATGAACATATGGACACTTGGTTCTAAGACCTGTTTTCTTGACAGGAGCTTCTTGTGATGTGGAAGACAATGCATTTGCCTCTGCTCTTGGAAAACCAGCTGTTTCTTCAAAGAAGGCAAAGAAAAAAGGTACTGAGGCCACAATCACTTTATTCCTGTTACGTCACTCAAAGTGAAATGCTCACAATACAGCAGTATGTTGTAGATGGAAAGATGAAACATCTGGAACATTTATATCTGCAAGACTACGTAGGAATTCTTATGAAGTAAGCAAAAATGTTAGCATGTGGACAGTGTATAGAATTTATTATGTGCTTCATGTCTCCATGGACTATAAGAGAACATTGTTCTGCGTGCATTGCTAGTGATGTGTTTTCCTCTTCTCCTTTAAGGTGGCACTGCTGTGCAGTCTAATAATACTGAAGCTGAAGATAATCTTAGAGCAACACTGATCGTCTGTCCACTTTCTGTTCTGAGCAACTGGACTGTAAGTTTTGATTTTTAATCATTGTCTTTTCTACTGTAGCTTCTGTAGAGTGCATCTTTGAATAGTGGACCTGCATTATTCTTTCAGTAGAATGCTGTTGAAATGTCTAATCTGGTTCTTCTAGCCTTTGAAATTTAGTAGTTTTCGTTCATTTAGTTGTTTTTTCAGTTTTCATGCAGGAAAAGGCAGTGGATTGGATCCAATAAATTCCTTCCATTAAAGAGTCTTTGAAGGGAGTTACTAGATACAACTGCACTGAAATTACAGGGATAATATCTCTTGTTATGGAGACCAGTGTCCTGAACATGGAATTCACTTGTGTATGAAATAAAGATACCAATAAGCACATCTTCTGGTGGAGGGGCAGAAATTTCAGTTCATTCACCTTGGTGCATAGGTCCACTAATTACCTCAAATAAGCAAAGTAAGGTTTACGAGTATGCTTTCTTGAAGATTGTAGGCCTGATCAAAGAGAAGAATGCTGATTAATTTTGAAACACAGTCTTCCAGCATCTCTAACACAGTCTTCCAGCATCTCTGATTGGTTGTTTTTTTTAAGCTGGTTAAGAAGAGATCATCATCAGCTTTTTGGTATAGACAAAATGATTTGATAACATAACTACAGTACAGATTTAATATTGTATGTTATTACTTCACAAGCCACGGTAACTTCAACATAATTCTCATGACTGTGACATATCTCAGATTTGTCATTTTTACAGAATTTACACAAGAGTGTAGTAGTGTAACATGTTTTAAATTAAGATTCAAGAAAATCCAGATAATTGGGTCAATAGTTGGAACCATACAGGAACCATACCCATGAAAGCTGTCTTGTAAATAAATCCACAAGAGTTATAATCTCAAAGTTACTAGATACCCCCATATGTGTCTATATTGCTTATCCATGTGCCGAGATAGTCTGGGGGGGCGACGACAAAATCCTCCCTTGCTTTGTTTTTGTTTATTTTAAAACATCTGTATCTGATTAGTTCAGCCTTGAGATGCTTTCCAGAAAAATAAACAATAAATATTACTGAAAATACAGCCCTACAAAAATCAATGCATATTGTAAACAGCAGGGTATATAGGTCCATTAATCCTCATTCAACAACTGCAAAAAAGTTTAGTCACTTTATAAAAAGGGTTTTCTATTTCCTTCAAAATGCCATGGGAAACATATACATTTGAACCCCATTGGGGGGAGATCCTTCTGTAACCAGAACAGTGGCAGTAAAGGCCTGTTCCATTAGGTAACAAGCCTAAATACAAGTCAGGATTGTGATTTCCTTGGCCTTTCTCAAGGAATGCCTCCCTCAAAGTTGCAAAAATAAAGTTGGTTAATTGTATTCTCTCCTTATTTTACTGTAGTTTCACCAGTAAGAGGTATGGTTATTTGAAGAAAATCTGCTGTTGGCAATAATTATTGTTAGCTGTCAGTTGGTCATAATTCTCTTCTAAACTTTAATTTCAGGATCAGCTTGAGCAACATATCGATCCAGCCGTTCATCTGAACACTTACGTTTACTATGGTTCAGAGCGCACCAAAGATCCAGCAATCCTTTCAAAACAGGACATTGTGTTAACAACTTACAATGTTTTATCTAGTGACTACAGTGTAAGTAAATACGTTTTGGTAAAAGAGTAGTGCCTGTCATCTTAGAAGGGGGGGAAGGTATATAATTTATAGGAACAATACTTGTGTGTATAAAAGTTCAGTACTTCTAGTACTAATACTTTTTCAAGCCTTTTATGGAAGAGATTTATTACACTAATGTTTTTAAGAAAGTGACATTTCAAGACTATGTAATGTTCAGTTGCTACAATTTCAGTCTAATCCCATGATAAAGATATGGATAATACTTCAGTTATGGAGTCTTGATCTGCTCGACATTAAATTATTCACATGATGTAAAGCGGGGCTTGGAATATACCCTGATGATTTTCCAAATGGGATGTTAAAGGAGTAGTCAAGACATGTGACATTGGCTCATCACAGAAGCCCTGAAAGTTTGTTTTTCAAGATTTCCAGTTGGGCTAACTTGTTCTTTTGTTGTTTACTCTCTCGTGAAAACTCCTGCATTAATTTTTGGGGGGAGGGGCACCTGGAGGTAAAGTTTACCTTGATAAATGTCAGTAAATCATTTAAAACAGATTCATCTGTGTTTCTGGTACAACTTCAGTATAAGGGCCCGTATTATGAGTCAAAAGTGGGTTAAGTTCTTTTCAAATACTTGAAACCTTGTCCATCAAGGAGCAATTGCTTTTTGTTTCTTGGGATATGAGAGCAGTTGCAGTTGTGGGGAAGGGATATGTGGTTTAAACTGAAGAATAACTGGTAGTATACTGTGTGAATATGCTATATAAATTGACTGTAATGTTTTGGTCTATTACTGGCTTACTTCTGTTTGTGAGTGGGATGGGGAAATCCTTGAACCTCTGTATTGTATTGCATCTGAATGTGGGCACTTGCTTTTTAGGATGGAGTGAAGAGTCTAGGCTGTCCTCATCCCCCCCAATGGAAGTACTCATACACTTGCTTTGTAGTGAAGTAGAGATTTGTCCTTTAAGAAAACCCATTATTTATCTACTTTTTAATTTGTTTTGATTTTTGTCTTAAATTGATAGATTTATTTATTTATTTATTTTATTCAATTTATACCCCGCCCTCCCCGCAATGCAGGCTCAGGGTGGCTTACATAAGGGCATACGCCAATAAAAACATATTTAAAACCATTTAAAATCCATATAATACAAAACAATCTTAATAAGTTATTAACTAACTAACTAAAGTGCTCTCGATGTTCACAGATCATCGTTCACAGATGACTGACAGTTGTTAAAATATAGATTTCTGTAGTGTTTCCTTTAAATGCAAATGCAGAGTATATTTAAGCTATCATAATAGCTTTTTGGGTACGTATTAAAATGAAAGTTTGGCTTCTATTTGCATGCATGCATTTTTAGTTTCACTGTACTTGTCTTGAGTGGTCTGTGTTCAAGGAATGCAGAATATTTGATGCAGCTGATTTCCCCTGTTCCTCTTACATTAAATTCACCAAGCTTTTCCTGCAAGAGAGAATAAATGCGGTGTGTGTGTTTGTTCAAAAAATATCAGAATCATTCTTATTTTGTTCCAGGCAAAAAGTAATAGTCCTCTGCACAAATTTAAGTGGCTGAGAGTGGTGTTGGATGAAGGGCACACAATACGAAACCCAAATGCTCAGCAAACTAAGGCTGTGCTAGATCTGGATGCCCAAAGAAGATGGATTTTGACAGGTATATATGCCCTAGGCTGAGCACTGTATCATTTTGTTAACTTGGTGTGGTTACTTCTGCTAGCTAGAGACTACATTTGTAGCACTGGTGCTTGTTTAGCTACAGATGCTGCCTTGGTGGGAAAGAACATCTTTGCTGTTGCTGCCTTATAGTGTGGCCACTATAAACTGGCCACAGTCCTATTCTTACAGTCAGTGTAACTCAGCCAAAAAGGTTATAGATTTATTTATTTTATTCTTCTGAGAACATACTGTTGGGTTTGTTTATTTATTTATTGAAAACATGTATATATTGCCTTTCCACCCAAGTAGAGTCCCCAAGGTGGCAAACATAAAGCATTAAAACATACAGTAAGAACACGCAGACATACAAATGAGGGCCAGTAGGAGTTTACTTGGGGGCATGCCAAATGAAACGAAAAAATCTTCGCCCGCTGATGGAAGACAATGACAGAGATAGACAGGTGAATCTGCCTGGGGAGGGAATTCGAAAGTTTTGGTGCACAACCGATGCAGGGGCACCCAAAGCAAGATCTCCAAATATGACCGGACAGGTAGGTTCATATGGGAGCTGCAGTATGTATAAGCTTAATACCGGCACCTTGAACTGGGCCAGGAAGCAAATTGGGAGCCAGCATAGATGGAACAAGACCGGAGTGATATGGGCTCTGTAACCCACGCCAGCCAACATTTTGGCTGCAGCATTCTTTACCAGCTGTAGCTTCAGACAGTCTTCAAGCGCATTGCATTAATTTAAACTGGATTTACCCAGGCATGCACCACAGTGGCAGGATCTTTCCCACAGGAAGAGCTGCAGCTGAGTCACCAGCCAGAGCTGATGAGAGGCACCCCTGCTATTTCTGCCACCTGCTTATCCATCAGGAGTCCCTGCTCCAGCAGCACCTGCAAGCTACAAACCTACTGCTGTAGGAGGAGAGCAACGTCATCCAGAACAGGAGTTTTATGCATTCCTGGGTCAAACCTTCCCTCCACCAGTAGCACTTCCGTTTTGTCACAATTATGTTTCAGCTTGTTAGCCCTCATCCATTCCAAAACTGCCTCCAGGCACTTGTTCACAGTTTCCAGAGCTTTCCTGGGATCCACTGGAAACATGAGATAGAGCTGAGTGCCATCCACACACTGGTGACAACTCAGCCCAAATCTCTGGGTGACCTCTCCCAGCAGTTTTACATAGATGTTGAAAACTGCGCGGGACAAGACAAAACCTTATGGAACCCCAGAGGCCTGGGGCAGAGCAAGAGTCTCCAGCACCCCAATCTGATACCTACCACCAAGGTGGGACTGAACCACTTCAAAACAGTGCCTCCTAGTCCCGAAAGGCAAGGACTTACGAGGTACATCTGTACCAGACTAAAAGATGCTTCTGTAGCAAAGCTCAGTAGATGCTTAGATAGTTACATTTCATTATAGGAAGGCTTTCTTCATTTCAAAGAGCTGCTGCTTTTAAGCATTCACTTTTGAAATCGGTGAATTAAAATCGTTGAGATCCATTGCCACATTTCCTGCATGTGGTGTTCTAAATATTGATATATTGCCTCATAAGTCTGTGGGTTCCCATCTACCGACCAGCCATTCAACCCTGGCCGTACTTACATCTCTGATTTTATGGGCAACTAATAAATGTTTAAAATATATGAAAGTGGTTTCAGATAGTCTTGTGTGGGAAACGGGATTTTAATATACAGTGGTAATTTTTGAGGTAATTTTAGTGCTGACAATTGTTATAATTCAGAAGGGATTCTGTGGTAAGGTTTAAACCTCATTGGGTGGGTTATTTATTTATTTATTTTTGCTTACTAGCTTTGACTTTGTCATTTTCTGTTAACTGAGCATGGTGTTAATGTGTGTGGTTCTGCCCACCTTTCTTTTTAGGCACACCTATTCAGAATTCCTTGAAGGACTTGTGGTCTCTTCTTTCCTTTTTAAAGCTGAAACCATTTACAGACAGAGAGTGGTGGCACCGAACAATCCAGCGTCCTGTCACTATGGGCGATCAAGGCGGGCTTAAGTATGAAACGCTTTCAGTACCTTTTGGGAAAGCATGGTATCCAAAGAACATTTCAGTTGCCATGAAGAATACAGACTTTAAAATCGTCTGATAAAAGTAGTTCCATTAATGGAGGAAAATGCAACTTTGCCTAGCTTCATTTACAATACTTAGCAATGCAATGAAATATAAAATTTTGTTTAAGTATTAATACAGTCTGTCTCATGGGCACTTCCTTTGTATTGCTAGGCGTTTACAATCCCTGATTAAGAGCATTACTCTTCGAAGAACAAAAACAAGCAAAGTTAAAGGGAAGCCAGTTTTAAAGCTTCCAGAACGTAAAGTATTTATTCAGCATATTACTCTTACAGATGAAGAGAAACAAATCTATCATTCATTGAAGAATGAGAGCACAGCTGCTATTAGCAGGTAAATGGTGCCAACTGTTAAGTGGAGAAAGAAAATTCCATTATGTTGCATTTAATTGTTGTTATAGTCTGACTTACAACAGTATCTAATTGTCTTAGTATATGTGGTTTCAAAAAACTGGAAAGCAGAGTAAAGATATAAAGTTAGAACAACTGAAATATAACACTGAGCACTTGTTTCCAGGGGTCGCAACACTAGGACTGATTCTGCAGAAGCAGTTGTTCCGCCCTCGCTCTGCCGTTTCCCCCAGTTGTACTGCTCAATTTCCCCCTATTTGCTGCGTGGCCTTATTTTGACCTGCATCTCCCCCCTGATTTTCCCTGCATCGTCTTGATCCTTATTGAGGGGAGATGCAGGTCAAAATGCAGCCGTTTCCCCCAGTTGTACTGCTCAATTTCCCCCTATTTGCTGCGTGGCCTTATTTTGACCTGCATCTCCCCCCTGATTTTCCCTGCATCGTCTTGATCCTTATTGAGGGGAGATGCAGGTCAAAATACAGCCATGCAGCAAATAGTGGGAAATTGAGCAGTACAACCAGCGGAAATGGCAGACTGAGGGCAACAACTGCTTTTGCGGAATTGGTCTAGCTGTGCTCGACTGCAATCTGAATTTTAATGCTACTTGATGAAATGTTCATAGTATTACCTTGTACGAGTGACAGAATCAGGATCAGAAATGAGTCTCGGTTTGTGGCAGGCATAACTAGGAAAATAGTGCTACATGTTTGAAAAACTGGCCATCAACCCCAGAATGACTATGGAAGTTACAGTGCCAAAAATGAGGGGAACACCCTGAACCAGGTTATCTTCACGACAGACAACATATAAGAGAGCTTCTAAGCAACTTGTTGATGTGTCTCTACTACCCCAACCTGGCATGGAACATTGCTGGGTGACACACTCTCAGCCTGGCCAACCTCACAGGGCTGCTGTGAGGATAAAGTGGAGAGCAGGGGAACAATGCAGCTTTGGGTCTCCATTAGGGAGAAAGACTGGGTACAGTATTTGTTACAAATCTAATTTTAGTGATATTAAAAAGATTAAATAATTTGTCATGTAGCAAGGTAGTATTTACAAAGGGCTATTAGATCTTAGGAACATAAGAGACGCCAATGTTGGATCAGACCAAAGGCGCATCCAGTCCAACACCCTGTGTCACACAGTGGCCAGAAATACCAGGTGCCATCAGGAGGTCCACCAGTGGGGCCAGGACACTAGAAGCCCTCCCACTGTTGACCCCCCCCAAGCACCAAGAAGACAGCATCACTTGCCCCAGAGCCCCTATCTATACCTTGTGGCTAATAGCCACTGATGGAGCTCTGCTCCATATGCTTATCTAATTCCCTTTTGAAGCCGTCCATGCTTGTAGCCGCCACCACCACCTGTGGCAGTGAATTCCATGTGTTAATCACTCTTTGGGTGAAGAAGTACTTCCTTTTATCCGTTCTAACCCGACCGCTCAGCAATTTCATGGAGTGCCCACGAGTTCTTATATTGTGAGAAAGGGAGAAAAGTACCTCTTTCTCTACCT